GGGGAGCTCTGACTGTATTCAGAGCATGGAAACCTCCACCAGCAGTTCAGAAAACACGCACAAAGCTTATGAGAGAGAATAAAATGTACTCTTACCGAAAATAACTGGAAATTTAGTTTGCTGTGCTAATTTTAGCATTTAAAACCACTGGGAACCTACTGGATCTTAGTAAGAAACCAAGATACCAAGTTAATTAAATTAAAAAAAAAAAAGCCTTTGAGGCAAAAAATCTTTTTTTCAACGTGATGCTGTGTTAAGGTTGGTACAGGCACCCACAGAATTTTTCTGAGTGCCTGCCTGCCAACTTCAAAGCATGTAAGTGTGAGTGTTTCTGGTCTGATAGAGACCAACCTGCATTTCTAGGCATGAAAATACCCAAATGCTTAACTGCTACCAGCGTCTTTGGATACAGAAACTGGGTCTTCAGTCCAATCTAGTATGCTGACCATTAAGAGCATTGAAAGTCAAGATACCACGGAAATGGAGATTATGGCAACCAGCATAAAAGCAACACAAGGTAGACATACCTAGTTTTAAGATACAGATGTCCTTCTCTGATCATTGAAAGAGCACAGACCTTCCTTTTTTGGGACAGGCTGTGTCAAAAAGGAGCTCCTGGTGAGCAGGAAGGTTACCAAGAGGGATCACAAAGAGTCAGGATCATGACAGATCTCATTAAATCAACTTCCAGGTCATGAACTGAGAACTTTTTCTGCTGACTGGGGCCTCACCACTTGGCAGTGATGGAGGAGAACAAAGATAGGGACACATTAGTTGATAACAGGATTAGTCAACTGCATGTGACAGGGTAAAGGCCATGCCAAGCCTAGGACATACAGACAAGAGTGCTGCAAAGGCAGGGAATTATTAAGGTCAGATTTCAAAGAAAAGCACTCTAGAAGAGTGGGTTTCACTCTTCTCATGTACATGCTGGCAGGCTGAATTAAAACTGGAATTGATGTACAGAAAAGTGGTTAAGAGGAACAAAGATCATGTCTTCCAAAAGGAAAGCACATAATCTTGGTTTGTTTAATAAGTCAAGAGTCTAAGGAGGGAAATGATTGCTTTTGTACTGATGCAATAGGAAAATAAACACGCTGGTGTTTAACGAGGAGCTGTTTAAACTAACACTGGCGGACAGCAGTTAATAATTTTACATTAGCTCTAAGTAGTTTATAATGGTAAGAGCAGGCAGCTTTCAGGACAGCCTTCTGGAAGAAAGAGAGAAAAAGAAATCCGACTGATCTGAAGACTGAAAATTCAAGCAGAGGTGATATTGCTTTGCCATCTCAGAGGGGAGAATGAACCTTGTGGGTAAAAACAGGGAAGAGTTTTTATGTCTAAATATGCTGGGGGAGTTCACAATAACATTGCTGGACTATGATGTGATTACCTCTAAGCACACCAGATGTTCACAGCTACATGTATTTACTCAAGACTACTCAAACTAAGAACACTTACAGGTACCTGTAAGCTCAAAATCTGTGAAAGAGTAACCATATTCTGTGTCAAATTTAGACAGCCATTTTTTCAAAATAAATCTAATCTAAGAAGTATTTCCTCAGCAACTGTCCTTAAAATACAGCTGGTGTAAGTGCATAATTGCTTCAGTTAATGCTTTATTTTGAGAGTTGTGGCTTCATACAGAGGGTAATTTTCAGCAAAGCCATAACAGAGGAAAACACTCTTGGGAAATTTAACAATGAGCTCAAGGTTCTCAGCATAATACAGAGAATAACAATTAGAAAGTTATCATTAACATATGATACATAGTTGTGATTTTGTCCAAACTAATTAGAGCAGTTGTTCTCTTATCAGTATATTAAGATGAACACTAAATCAAATATCTTAATAGCACTTATGTATTCTGTAATGTGATTTAAATTTTATTTGATATGGCAATGAAAGCAAGTCTTTGTTAACATCTACTGTATCATTTCAAGTATTGAGAAAGTTGTATTGTCATCAGATTCTACAGAGCAAGCTTAACTCAGTGATACTAGTAGGTTAAACAAATAAAAATAGAAAAGGTGGACCAATGTCTGCGTTTAACAGAGATAAGCATCATGTCACATCTTGTTTCCCTTCTCTGGTCTTTCTGCCTCTCAGGCACTGGAAGGCACTGGAATGGCACATGCCACGTGTGTGCATTTGAGGGGAAAGCTGGCCCAGGAGCAGCAAGCTGAGGCATGTATAAAGTGGGATGGGGAGCATTTCATTCCTGCTAGTGAGGAGGGTGCGTTCCCACCTCTGTGCTTTCCATAAGGCCTTCTGGATAAAGACTTGACAGATATCAAAAATTGTATCTAGGGAAAGTAAACACCGAAAAAAACCCAAACAAGACCTATGGAGCTTTATCCAGGGACACATTTTTTAAATTACCTGTCCTGTATTAGGTTGTTGATCTTTTGAGTTTCGTCCAAGCGACTTGGCCACAGCAGTATGGACACGGAACAGTAAATAATCATGGGTTCATCAGCAAAAGATTCAAGTTATTTCGATTTAAACAAATGCTTTGCACAGAAGGGCAAAATATTATGCAGTAGTGTTTCAGCAATTTCCAACATGTCAAAACATTCTTTAAGTTCCAGGTTAAAGGGTAAAATCTTGGCCTTAAAAGATGCTCTTCAATTATTATGGGCCAGCTATGGATGAACCTGACTGTCAGCAAATCCTGCTATGGACCGGTAGGTGTTTTACAGATGACTTCCACATGCATGCAACATCTTAACCAACCTTCAATGAAACACACATTTGGCTTTTTACACTGGTCCACTTCTCGTGGAAGAAGTTTAAATGGGAAGGTGGAATACTCAGCACCGTCTGAGAGCAGAACCAGGGTCTGGAGATAAAGAGAGAACACAGCGCTTTCTGTTTGCAATGCTGTTTATTTTAGAAAAGCCCCTTTGATCATCTGAATGAAAAATGTGGGCAGAAAAGTCACAAATGTTATAAAACAAAGTTTATTCTGCAATATTTTGTCATAATGAATTGCATCTCTTTGGTAAAAATAAAATTTATAAACATTTTAATTAACAGAGATTAGCATACAAAAAACTAAACTTCTGTAAATCGTCTTTAAAACGGGTAAAGGACTAAACCGGAGGAAAAAGGGTTAGAATTGGTCACCTACTGGCAAAATTATTCTAAACAAACCCAAGGACATTGTTTATGCTACATTAGAAACAAGCTAACGGGAATGGTTTAAAAACAACTCTGGTTCATTTGATCAGAAAGCATTCTTACAATTCACTTTTAAATAAATAATAGTTACAATGAATTGGCAATTATAAAATGTTTTATATCACTATATGGCAGTAACATAATACTTTTAATTATGCACTTTTTAATTTGAAGAAATGTACACATAAAACAGACTTGATAATGGCACTGGCAGTTAGGTGTGAAGAATGTGCTTTAAGATAAAATAGCAGGTGCAACATTTAAATATTCTACCTTTTCTTTTCAATAAATATTCTGACCACACCATTATTCACGTGCATGAGTGTACTTTGCTTTAATTAAAGCTTGTACTTTTCAGGTTGATGAAAAGTTGCAAACCACACAACTTCCATTTTACAGTTGGATTTTAAAACATTTGATGTGACTTCTGCCAATCAGTAATTTAGGACTGGGATCTGGAAGGCCAGTATAGGTTTGTACAGTATTCACATCAGATTTACCCTGAACAGAGCAACCTCCCAGGTACAAAAGTCTCATACACTTCTTCACTGCATTTAAAGAACTGAATGTGGTTCATTAATACTTTTCTTGCCAAAATGTATCCAAGTCAACCATTGGCATCAACGTTTTACATATGTCACTAAAAAAACCCAAAGCCCAACAATCAAAATAACTTTTAATTATACTCCATTTATACTATATACACCAGGGTCTCTGGCTGAGGTGGTAAACAAACCCAAGCCCAATAGATATGTAAGAGAAAGGAAGGACAGCTCTTCTGCCACTCCCAAGAGGGGTGCTCTGCATCTGAGCTTTCGGCCTTTGCCTCCCAAATGTGCAGGCAGAGGTGTGGGACAACACAGTGGAACAGGTCAGGGGCACAGATTGTCTGCCTTCCCCTTTGAAAGGAGAAAGGGAAAACAGCAAAGCATGAAGAGCTTTGCTCTGTGTCCCAGGGAAAGACTACGATTGCTTCCCCACTTCCAGAATTCCAGTTCTCCCAGGCTAAGAGCTGTAAGGATGGATGCAGCTAGCTTTCACTGCTGACTTTGATTAGTAATTGGTTTTTACTGGTCATTGCATATGGTAATTAAATGCACTGTTAGCATCCCAACTCCATCTCCTCAGATATGCTGAAGTCATTATCACCAGCTTCAGGGTTAACAGCAGCACAGCCACACTCCAAGTCAGTATTAACCTTCTCCAATTTTATCTGAGGCATAAAATAAATGCAGAACCAAATCAAAACACAGAGCCAACTACGACCGCAGAATTTCCAGAATACTTGGGACTTTGATCCAGCTTTCACTGGAAGATACAGAAAGGCTGCAACCACCTTCAGCAGGAGCCAGGCAGCACCCCTTTCCAACAGCATGAAACTGAAATCATGGCACTGAGCAAAATCCCAGGCTGCTACACAGTATTTATGTGTATCTGAATCTTGGTTTTCACATTGACACAAACTCTGCCCTTTGCAGTTTTCCATCAAAGTTCAAAAGCAACCCATCAGCAAAAAGCAGTTCCACCGAGCATTCACATCTTCACATCCTGAAATCCAAAGAATCACTGTGTTGATAATTCATTTTCCTTTAAATAGAGAGTTTTACCCCTACTACCCATCAGTAACACATCCAAAATCAGATCTAATTGGCTAATGCAGCACTTGTGATAGCCAGAAGACATACACATCTGCAGACGTTGCTCTGCTACAGGTATAGGCTAACAGGTGTTCACACAAAGCAGGAATGAAGCAGAGTATTTTCCTTCCCTTTCCAGAAATAAAACAAATAATTCTTAAAACTGAAGTAACTGGAAAAAGAAAAAAAAAAACCACACTTTTTTTTTTCTCCTAGGGTTTGTGCTTTAAATTCCAAAACACAAAGAACCTCAAATATTTCAGGCTTGATCCAACAGCCATTGAGTCAGCAGGAGCACCACCGTTGTCTTCAAGAGGCACTGGAATGGGCCCTCAGAGCAACAGACCTTCAGCAGCATGGCTGTGTTTGTATTTAAAACAGTTTATGACAGTATTCATGAATAGACTGACAAATACGAAATAAAAGGAAAAAGGGGGGTAACACCCCCCACACTAGTCTAATAAAGGCATCCAAAGAGCCAGGAAAACACCCCCTTAGGGAAAGGTTAACTTTTGGCTGAATCCAGCACTGTTCTCCACAGTGGACATTGGTTTCCTAGGTGGCTCTGCTCCTAATTTTCAACCAGCTTGCCCAACACCTGCTGGAAGCAATAGCTTCACGTTGGTGAGAAGGTTTATGGCACATCATGCTACCTTTTAGCAACAGGAAAGATGACCTTGAATAGCTGTATACAATTCTGCAACATACTTAAGGCATCCTTGTATGTACAGTAATGTTAAAACCCACTCCAACTGAACTGCTTGTCCATTTTTTAACAGAAAATTAAAAAAAAAAGAAAAAAAAAAGGCCATTATCTACAGGAAGATGTAAGCAATCGCCACTGATTTTAAAAGGAAAAAACAATAGGGATTAAAGTTCAACATACCACAAAACATATTTGGCTGAAGGATGTCTAGGAACTATAAAAAGATTCTCTTATTGCAAAATGAATTGTGAAGGAACTTCTTCCCAAAACAGAGGTCCTCCTGAGCCTCAATGCACATCCAAAGGCAAAAGCCTTGCCCACTGGATGCCCCGTATGTGGCAGAAGGCTGATGGGGTTCAAACAGCACAAGGCACGGTGATCTGGGAAACAGAAGGTATGGATGGACAGTCCATGTGACAAAACCAGCAAACACTGGGGGAAGGGGCAAAAACCCCCAACAACACTAAATTAGGATGAGCTGTCATCTCCCCAGAGGGCAGGGAGGCCCTGCAGAGAGACCTCAACAAATCAGAGATGGGCAATCGCCAACTGCATGAAGTTTAAAAGGGCAAGTGCCAGATTCTGCACCTGGGATGGGCAACCCTGGGTGTGTGTATGGACTGGGGAACAAGAGCTGGAGAGCAGTGCCGTGGAAAGGGACCTAGGGGTCCTGTGCAGGGCCAGGAGTTGGACTCAGTGATCCTGATGCATCCCTTCTAACTCAGCATATTCTATGATTCTATGGATTCAGGGTTCAGAGATCCAAAAGGAAGCGATTCTATTTTGTCTCAGATTAGGCAGCAGGACATTCCCTTTTCAGCAGCTGTTTGCCAACTAAAGCCTCCACCTCATCTGCATTGTCACCACCACCAGCTGCTGGGCTCTTTTTTCCCTCCCAAACCGGTACAGGGGAGCAGAAGGGTAGATGTAGCAGGACTGTGTAGGTACTACATATTCAACAGTGGTGGTAACACAAAGACAACATCTGACTTGGAAGGCAGCAGCTGTCACTGTTGGCCACATCCAAGGCATGTGTGGGCATGCACGTATCTGCACGAAAAGGACAATCCCCCACCCCAAAAAAACTCACAACATGTCTTAAGATAAAACCACAAACCATGTTCCTTCAGGAATCTGAGCTGCACACAGGAGATTTGGGGGAAGGAGGGACAAAAAAAAAACAACTGTGGGTGGTACCCACTTCAGCTACCCCTTATCCCACTCTTCCAGGGGGTGTTTAGTATCTTGCTGAAAGCAGCTCCTGCGGGTTTTCAGCCACTCTGTCAGATAGGCCAAAAAATGCAGCAACTCAGAGTTGCATCACCAGTGTTTTCACTAGGACCTGTCTGAAAAGTGAAGAGAGGACAGGTGGAAGGAGGCAACCAAGGCCAGGACCTTTTCTTTCCCCCTTTCTTTTTTCACCTCCTTTTTAATCCTTTACATGGAAGTCAGAGCCCTTAGACAGAACAAAATTCACCTCTGCAGATGGGGCCAGCAGAGATGTAAATATGATCCACAGTGTGCATCTGAACAAACATATCTCTGAAAAAAAAAATAAAGTCAACTATTAAAAAGAAAAAAAATAAACAGTGATCATTAAGTATGCTTTCAGGTTTTCACAAGTCATGCATCTCTAATCTGAGAAGATTAAATATTCTATTTTTCTTTTTAGGTGGTGATTTAAAAATAAATGGCTAAATTATAGTTTGCGCCGAAAAATAAAAAAAGCAGTGAGTCCTCTTATGGCTTTGATCTCCCTTGTGAAGGGTAAAAGTAGAAGAGTATTGCCACAATTAAAAAAAATATATGTATATATTCAACACTGACAAACATATTATTTTTTCCTTTGTTTGTGACAGTGGGTCTTTGCAGTACTTATTAAGGAACTCAAGCACGTTTGGATGCCGGCAAGGTGGAGCAGAGACCCCGCTGCTTCTTTCAACTCCTCATCGATTTCTTGACATAATTCCTCGAATGCTTTCTTGCTAGACTGATTTTCCTTAGAGGTATCTACACAAGGTTGTGATGCATAGCCACTGTCTCCAAGAGGATCATCTTCATAGTCAACGTCTGTATCCACTTCGCTGTGAAATCCTTCACTGCCATCGCTCCCGTCATGGCTGGTCTTGGAAATAAATTCATACACCTCGTCAAGGGAGGACAAGGAAGACACGCTGGACCTGGATGCGCAGCGCTGGGAACCCATGCTGCTGGCACTGTAATTGTGATCCTCGTTCGGATCAATATTGGTGGCCGCAGAATCATTTTCCGGCAAATTTATGGAACTCGGAGGGTTGAATGCACTGCCATAGCTCCTCTTCTTGGGTGTCTTCAGAGGCTGAGGTTTCTCACCTATTAAAAACAAGATGTGTCAGTAAGCAAATGCTCTAATGGTGTCACCTGCACAATGAGCTGGCTGACTGCAAGGTGAGCTGAACGTCAGCAGTTAAGAGTCCCGGTCTCTTGTGCGCATTTACTGTCATCCACAGAGGACAGCAGTCCTCAGCTAATTGCAACTAAGAGCTGCAGAGAAGCAGACAAGAAACTCTTCTTACCATTTAGCACAGAGAGGGCAGGGGAAAAACTTTGCATAAAACCCCCAAAATTAACTGGGAAAAGAAAAAGAAGGTTCTAATAAAACTGTTGCAGTGCTAGCTGAAAGAACAATCAAACCAGAATTACTTCTTGCTCCTATTATTTGGAAACTAGACCCTACTTGTTTCCTGGAATTTTATAAAGCTTTTAGCTACTGAGTAGAGAAGAAAAACAGAGTAAAATGGCTTATGCTTACAGTCCAAGATCCCTTGCTGAATGGAAGTATTTAACAGCATCATTGCAGTAGCAGCATCAATATCAGATTCTGTAAAGCAGAAGCAGCAAAATGTTAGATCTCAGGTAAGCCTGACAAGCTGAGGTCCCTAAAACATACAAAGAACATATATATCCGCCTATACTGGCCTACAACAAAAAGTGGGGGCAGGGGGAACGTACAAACTCAGACCAAGCATGACTTGTACATCACAGCACTGTTACAGATCAGTCTCATACCTTAACTATGCCGTTCAAAAGCTGAATTCTCACGTTGCACTTACCGAAGCCAAGAATCAGTGACATAATTAGACATTCATGTGACAATGCTGTTGCTATACTTAACAAGTGCCTTTTGTTTGTACCAGTCGAGAGAGAAAGATTAGACACATGGCACAGCAAAGCATCTCAGCAGCTTCATACCCTGGCTGTGTGAACGTGCAAGGCTGAGGAACAACCGTGCCTGTTAACCCGGCACTAATTCAGAACACCTCCCTTCCCCAGCAGTATTTTTCACACTAATAAGTCAAATGGAAGAAATTGAGAATATGAGAGGGGAAAGAGCTCTGAACTACTTGATCTAGAAAGCACAGGGATCTAAATAATAAATAGGCATGTAAAAACGCTTAGGTGAACTACAGCACTGTCAGCTGGGGTGACAAGCGCTGCTGTAAAATGCCATCCTTTGCTGCCCAGAGTGGATTGCTTACATCTCTGAAAGGCACCTGGAGGATATTAGGGCAAAGAGTGACATTTCTAACCAGCATCAGGTGAAAAGGAAAAGAAACAAGCACGCCTTTCCCACTCATTTCGGGATATGCTCATGCACTTTAAAAAAGAGGAAATCCAAGGTCTTCCTTGGCTCACTTCAGCAACAGATGATGAATACTCCCTATACAGGACAGAAATATATATGGTGGACTAACCAGGCAAAAGAAGAGCAAAGAGACAGTGAGCTCTCTCACAAGAGCCTTGGTGTCTGAGAACAAAGGGTCACATCTGAGGCATATGTAGGTATGAGCAGGGAGTGGAGAAGAGGAGCTGGAAGATATTGTGCTGGAAGGGACCAGCAGCAAGCACAACAGGCTCTCAGTTCTGCTGAACTGGAACCTGGGTGGGAACTGTTAAAGTGAAACATCAGCAATGTCATTTCTGATGGCATTTGTTTTCCCCCCTACATTACAGGCATTAACAGTATTACTGAATTTGAGGGGAGGGGACTGCAGAGTCGTCAGTGTGGCTTCCTTATCTTGACAACTATCCCTACCTTCATCCCTGGTCAAGGAGAAATCTGAAGAACATGACACCTTGGGATATGTTGTATTGCATCAACATAGAAAGGGGACTGACCTGCTGTTTCCAGCACAGGTTATAAAACATATACATTCCCTCCTTGTTTTCGAAGTCTTTCATTTCAAACTCATCATACTTTAAGGTCTATCCCATTGTACTCATGAGATTATTTTTTTTATTCTGTTTTGTCTTTCTTTGGCAGAAATAGAGCCCCTGAATTTATAGGTCACATGCATCCAACCAAAAAAAAAAGAAGTGGAAAAAACTCCATGAAGAGTTAATTTGCTCCATTAGTGTAATCAGAAAGTGAAATACTTCCATTCCTTACTTGCTATCACAGACATTTTGTTTTATCATCTGATGTTGGTACATAAGCACCACTTGTTAAAATGGCAAGTAATTAGAGGCATTAATGCAACTCAGGATTACTACCTGCAAAGAGTATTCTGCACTTTAATACTCCCAAAGAAAGAGGAGAGACATTTCTGCAGTGACTTCTTAGCAGTACTCTGTGTCACTGTTAAGGTGCTTTGGCTTCATTTGCAATTGCTCTCCTCAACAGAGCAGTATTTCCCAAATTCATGCTTCCCCAACAGAACAGCTGAGGAAGCACCTTATTACAAGGAATTCTTTCATGTGCACAAGAGCTGCCCTATGTGACCCCAGGAACATTAATGGCTTCCCTCTAATGCCAGAGAAATGCTGAGCAGGTTCCCTGAGACGCAGAAATTAAACGATAACAGACACAAATCATTATTTCGGCACCTCCGGTGTAGCTAATTGGAACAGTTAGCATCAGGCTGGCAATCTCCATACCTGTCACAGGACACACCAGCAAAATCATTAAGAGGAGGGGGATTCCTTGTATTCTCTAACGAGCCCTAAGAATCCCAGATCTAGCAGCCTTGCAGCAGCCAGCCAGCCAAGGAAGCTTCCTTGCCACTCACATACAACCACAAACCTCCATCTGGATGCACGGTGACTATCATCTGTGGGCCAGGCACCTGATTCATCTCTATAAAGCCTTGGCTTTGCTGCCTAACCAAAGCTGCTAGTTTGTGTCCAAAACTAAAAGCAATCTTCTCCCCTCTGAGCCTACCACGCTATCAAAACCAGGGAGCTGAGTGTCTGCTGTGCTTGCTCACAGACCCACTCTGTCAGTGGCCTTTCACTGTCCTTTTTGAAAGAGCTTTAACAACACTCCTATACAACACATGCTCACTTTCTGTTAGATTCAACTTTTGTGGCCACATCCCACGAGTTTTATACATTAAAATTTGCTACCCTTGGTTCTCAGTTCTTGGTCTCCAGTAAAACTAGTACAGAGATGTGCAGCTTTCGGATTTGTTTTCTACTGAACTATTCATTCTTTAAGTAGGTCATTTTTGGGAGTGATACATGTGCTGAATACTTTGCTGCCAGAACAAGATGGCCCCAATTACACCTTGAAATTCAGCTCATGGATTTAAAATTAATACACAGGTGGCTAATATAATACGCATACGCTGTATTACATCTGGGTTTTTTGTCATCTAGGAGACCCTTCACAGCAGGTCTGCAGACAACATCAGCTGGGCTGCAGTACATGCTTGTGACTAAAGCCAGGGGAGCAGAGTGAAGCAAGAAGAAATGTTTACCTTTGAGAGCTCGGCCATGGTTCTGCTGAAGGACTGAAGTTAGGTAGTGAGGGGACGACGACCTACTGAAAAGAAATTCAACAGCTCAAAGCCAAGCCCTAATTTAGGCAAATGATTTGTACAAAGTGTAGCAGACACCATACTATGGTCACAGAAGGGTAAAAATAAAACCAACCCTATTGCCAGAGGTGGGCAAGCAATTCCTATTGCCCTCAGTAAATGGCTTGACACTTGGTTGATAGTTTGTGTAGCACTATTTAAGCCATCATCAGCATTTGGAAAACACCTCCAAACACACACAACTAAGCAAAAATCTTGTTGGCAAGAGATACTGACTTCTACAGATTTTATGTAGTTGCCTAAAGGCTGGATTTTAAACAAAACCATGTATTTTTTAGTATGTAAAACCTACGTGTGAAGTAAACTTCAGCTTACACAGGGATGCTCAGAGCCCAGGAGCAACACAAGAGGTAAGGGGGAGTTGTGTCTGCCTGCTCCTCCAAACAGCAGAGGGCAATTAACAAAAATGAAAGGTAATGTGCAAAAAGCTGGGGAAGAACAAAAAAAAAAAACCAAATCAAGATACCTGATGATTTTAAAGTTATCTGAAGCTTGGCTGTTTTGGTGATGCTATCTGGGGTTTTTTCATAATCAGACCAGCTTTGCACCTGGCAAAGCACCATTAAATCCCCTACAGAATAAAGGGCAAGCTAAAGCTTTTGCATGTTTGGTTGTTTGTTTTTTTTTTTTTGTTATGCACCCAGTCCTAATTATTCAGTTCACTATAAATATACTAGCAAGCAGTTAGAAATAAATACAACAAAAATAGTACACACTATTAAAATTGCATGAAACGTAGCAATGTGCATCTTTTATAGTGTTGCTGGAAGAATTTGAAGGGTGATGAGCAGAATTTTCAAGCTCATCCTGTAACAGAAGCCTCACAGGACTAATGGGGTGATTTTCATCCTTAAGGTGTGCTTACCTTTTATATTTATCATATTTAGGCAACTCTGTTTTCCAAAATAAGGTACAGCCACAAAACCCCCCAAAATCACAAAGTTGCTAAATGTTTAACATTGTAATTATTTGTCTAGATCATGCATTAAAACTCAAATAATTACTTCAGCTTTAAAAATACCTTTTTTAAACTAAAATATTCAACTCTTCAAATTGCAGTTTGAAGAAAATGCTTTTCACTGGTGACTGGCTGCTACTGAGGCTGCACACATCTCAGCCACCCTGAGATCAGCTCCCCTGCACAGATGTTAACAAGGGTGCCCATTTAATAGCCTCACTGCTCCAACTTGCCATCACATTATCCAAACTCAGCTGGCCAAACTCAGCTCCAAAGGCTGCTACAGTGTAAGAGGAAAAAAAAAATCAAAGCAAGGTGGCTTGAAATGCACCATCTGGGCTACATAAGGAGCTCTTGCTGCACCACAGCCTGCCTGGCACTGGTAAGCAAAGCTACTGAAAAGGAGAGTAATATCTGAGCACCTCCCAGTGTCGTAACCAAGGGGAAAAAGTTCCAGCTCAGCTGAATGGGAAAAAGTGGAAAACTAGAGTTCACTGTCTGGTATGTTTTCTTGTAGCAGCAATGGAGCACAAAGGGAACTGCAAAAATGAGGTGAAAAAAAAAAAAATTAAAAATAAAAGGAAAGCAATGGTCCAACCCCAACAGGCTGGCTCTGCAGCCCACAGGTCCATTGTACAGAGATGCTTAACATCTTCATCCTTTTGTTCTAAACTCAGATCCTTCAAAAATCACATCCACATGGAGCTTCCCCAGAGCAAATTAATGCCCAGTATTGATTAAGACAAGCTATGCATAAGGTATCTGCAAGATGAGGGCTGTGGCCATCCCCAGAGCCCAGGGCTGTAACACACGTAGTACTAGAAACAAAATGCAGCCAGGGGCTCCGCACCAACTTGTTGAACAAGCTGTGCAGAAACAAAATGCATCAGGGATGCCAATCATCTATGATAATACGAATTTCAGTGTCACTAGACACAGATTACAGTTTTGGAAAGCTTCTGCTCAAAGTAACAGCTTAAATTTTATTTTAACATCCTGCTGAGTGACAGGCATACTCCCCACAAACACACTGTAAAATAATTATGAACACTAGCCTTCCCACAGAAAAATTCAGAGACTCTCACAGTCGAATTTTAGGATCACCCTGTAGATAAATTTGGACAGTACTTCCAGAGTCTCTCCAGCTGTACCTCTGGGCTTTCTCTCTCTCTTCAACAAGGCAGACCCTTGGGGGCCCTTCCCCAAAATTAGGCCAGAATTTAAATCAAATCCAAGAATCTTTAAACGTGGAAGGGGAAAAAAAATCTGGTTTTCTGTGCGTGATGGAAAGTCATATAAATGGTGTTTTTACTATTAAAGGAAAATAAACCAGCTTTCATTAGGAAGAAGTCTGGTATCTTAAAATGCCGTTTCTTATTTTCTTGTACTCATAAATACAAGCACTGCAAAACCCTTCCTGTATTGAAGACAGTGGGAATTTTGCCATGTGGCTTCACTAGAACCTGGATTTCCTTGTAATTGTGATTGTTGGCAAGTGTGACTAGTCCTTCAGTGAAGGAAAAAAAAAAAAGTTACCAAAAACAACAGCTTCAAATTAAAGTCATGATCTTCTAAGTACTTCAGCATTCAGATAAAATCTCTCCTTCCCTACACCTGATTTCAGTATGTTGTATTTAGACAAGCTAAGTAAACCACACTTCAACATAACTTCAGCTGGACTAATCTTGAAGACCTTGGAGATACTAAAAGCTTAACTGAATTCCCTACCCTAGGCTGAGCCTGTCTGGATCCTCTGTGCCTCAGCTGGAGAAACAACATCCAGAGGTCACTCTCTATCTCCATTATTCTCTACATTTTAATGTCTGATTGTGTTAACACAGACATGGTATTAAAGCTTTCAAGGACTAAACTTTCACTTGAGTTGTACCAAAAAACCAGAAGAAGTCTATGCCCTTACATAGAAACATTAAAGCCTGTAAAAGCATTATCCTCTAGAGCCCGATTACAGTCATTTCGATAATCTTTATTCCCATAAAACCAAGCAATACCACCAGTCATCTCATACTTTCCAAGTTGACTATTTCTTAATACTTAAATGCTTTGCGGTTATTTTAGTATTGCTCCCATTCCAGTAGAAAGCTGGAAAACAGGATACTTCTGCCTGGCTTGTTCCAACCCAAGATGGCCCTGGGTTGGAGAGAGACCAGAGATAACTGGTTATATCCTGTAGGTTACAAGCCCAACTGGAAAAGCCCCTGCCACACAAAAATCTTCAGCCAGACAGCTAAGGCTTGCATGGGGTTGCCAGCTCCCAGAGTCAATGTCCTGTTGGACCCTGAGAAAGGCCTGCTCAATGTTACCAGTCCAGTAATCCCAGTTCCTCCTGTTTGTTAAGGAAATTCCTTGCAGTAAGATTAAGGCATAGGTCAATGTAGAGAGACCTTAATTATCTCTTATCTTACCCAAATTCTTTGCTGAACTAGACAAACCGGCCACATGCCTACCTAAGAACTGAGCTCACCCAATGCATTCCTCTGCTTTGTGCTCCTCCTCTCTGTCCCACCTCTACAGGCTGACCCAGCTCCTCTTCCTCTACTGAGGATGCATGAGATTGACTTCAAATTCCCCCAGATCTATTGCCTGATCTTAAAATGTGCTGGTAAGGAAGCCCTGGTTTCAGAAGTCTTGCATGCTCCACCTCAGAGTATATTTATGTCAAAGACTGTTTTTTCCATCCCTGCTGCAAAATCCTTTTTAACAGCCTTGGAGAAAAACAACCCTCACAGACCAGCCTCTCTAAGCATTTCTGACTGTAGAAAAGTTGATTGTTTTTGACAACGGCATGGAGTATATACATTTTATAACCAGATAAGTGACTTACAGAAGAAGACACCCACCTCCTCCAAAGCCAGCAGCACCAGGCACACTTGATTCAGTCCTGGTGAACTGTGCTTGAAGGAGGATTTTGCTCCAGTTCCCGGGACTGCTTGCCCCCTGGAGAAACTGGGCTAACCAGTAAGCACCCAGCACACTCCTGACCTTCTTCTTTGAAACTCTCCCACAGTTAAGGAGACGACTTGGACACACACCTCAGATGTCTATCTGGGAAGCTCGAGCTCATTAAATCTCCCCACCTCATCTAGCTGGTCTCACCTAAGCCCCACTCAAATTCTTCTCTCGGGTGGCAAATGGTAACAACAGATCAACAACATCCATGTGGGCATTTCCTTTGCCAGGTGGAGAAACGTGACCACACGCCCTGCTCGGATGGGAAAATTCACCTACCTCGGTGGCGACGCCGGCGGAGTATAAAATGCAAGTGCTGAGGAAAAGGGCTGTTTCTTCAGTGCTTGGACAAGATTAGGTTTGTATTTTGGGTCAACACACCACAACGACCCTTTTCCATTCACCTGCAAGAAAGAAGCATGGAAAATCAGAAAACCTGGGGCCAGACTGTTACAGTCCTTTCTAATGTAATACTCCCAAGTTGCAGCACAGTGCAATGACTGTACACAGGCATACACCCCAGTACAGCTGATGTGCAACATCCACAGGCAGCTTCACCACCAGCATGGAAAGTGCATGCTCCCAAATTAAGAAAACAGTCCTTATACACCATGGAAGTACCCATTTTGCAGCTTGGGCTAGCATCTCCAAAGCCCCTTCTCCAAAGCCCCATTTCCATTCTCATTTGTCCCCCGAAAGCTGTAAACCTTATTTTAACACTTGGTAAACACAGCTGTGCATTTAAGGATCTGTCCAAGCACCAGCAAACTAATCAGCAGTCTTTTCATTAATAGGTTTCTAAGTAAAAAATCTAAGCACCCTTCCTTTTGCTTAAATATGGTCACATACTCATTTAACTTTACAGCATCCTGTAAAAGGATCCTGCCGGATGCGCAAAATCTTCCCACATTTGCAAAATCTGAAAACTTAATTAATGTATTTTTGATGCACCTAACAGTGTAAGCACCACTGTGCTAGTCATTCTTGATATTAAATTCGGTATGTTGAAACTTGAGCAAGGTTAAGCACCTCTTGCCCCTCCCAAAGGTTTCCTCAAAAATTTACTAAATAAAGAAAAAACAACCTGTTTTTTGGAGCCTGTTAGTTCTTCAAGACCTGAAGAAAATTAAATAGGAAAGCTAAAACCTGACAGATCAGCTAAAAACACTGCAGGTAGCAGCACCAGATTTTTTCGGGAGAACAGGTATTACAGAAATGATCATGTACCTGGCTGAAGGGTGGGGCAGCTCTACACCTGAACAGGAAGGAATTTTTAGAGGATCTGAGGGGGCTGATTCTCAGAGCAGAAACCCAAGCTTCGTGGAGCACCTCCTGTGAGCCCACAGACGACAGCTGGCCTCCTCCTGCCACAACCACAGGGGGCAATAATACCCTTGTAGGGATGGATGCTCCATGACTTACTCAAGACTGAAAAGGATTCATGAAGCGTGTAAGTCTGCGGTTCTATTTAAGTAATGTTTTTTTTTCTGGAGAAGAGGAAAAACCTTGCTATCAACAGAGAAGAGAGCCCCAGCTGAGAAAGAGATGCAGCTCCACAATTTTAGTTGAAGTCACTGCCTTTCACAAAGATCTGAGCTGCCCCATCCCTCTGAGTTATTTGTTTTTTAACCTGAATCTTTCTTACACTCATATTTTCATACTAAAACTGAGCACAGCCTGTAAGATACTTATCAAGAAGTTTACCTTTAATTATTAAACAGCCATGGTGGCTGGGAGGATGATGTAGCCACCCTAAGTACTAACAGGGAGTATCCTCCCAACTGGCTGAATCCATCATCTCCATGACACTTAAAACCCTGATCCCTTTCCTGCTACCAGACCCCTTTCCCCAGCATCCCAACCCCTATCCAACTGACTTTTTTTTTCCCCCCTCTCTTTGGTAGCTTTGAGGCCCTCAGAGAACAGCAGGAACTCCCCTGACCAGCAAACCACTGCTCCACAGGGTTTTATCTGCTACTTTAGGTGAGCACTTTCGCTTCATGCCTAATTCAGTTCAGCTGCTGGGGATTAGTTTCCCTCTTTCATCTTCCCAGCCAGGTATTCCCACCAGCTTGCTGCTGTGACAACTTAAAACAAGGATTTTGGGTGGGTATTGCAAGCTGAACCAGGCACATCCTGAAGCCATACAGATACTGACCCAATGTAAGAGGCAGTAAAACAGTGACTTCTTCTGTGGGTTATGTTTAATGTGAAGCCACACTTCCACCCACCATTACAGATACTAAAAGCAGACACTGAGCAAAAGAGGGGATGCCCATGGGGCTGCTCCTGTGCAGTGCTTCGCCTGCACCCTCTGCCCAGCAAAGACACAGCAGAAGTCCAGCCCAGGTCTGAAGTTAAGTTTAATGTTTTAGGGGAAAGTCAGTCACAACTGGAGCTGGCAGTTTCAGAGAACTAATACATCCAGCTTTAAAACAAGACAAAACAGACTGTGCTATTTCTCCTAGCAAAGACTAATCCTAGGATGCTCTAAAATGCTAAACTGCCTTTGGAGGTTACCATTTCACATCAACAGCCAGGCAAGTGTTGATGTGCTAGCTGAAATGTAGGTGTAACTTTCATTTAAGATCTAGAGATACACCCCTCCAGAGCCAGTGCAGAGAGGCCACCAGGCTCTTCTTAATCTGCATCTCAGGACATGTGGAGCAGTCATACGCTTCTGAGATTATTTTTTGGCCTATCATCTTTTTTGCATCTTTCTAATGTCTCTAATTTGACTTGCGGGACTTCATCTAGGCAAAAACAAGGGAAGGAAAGTAATCCCTATGTTTTGAAGCACTGGAGCTATTTTGTAAAGACAGTAAGTTTCCAGCCCCCAGCATTTTGGGACTGGATTATAGAAAAACGCTTTGGAAACAAGATGCCTCTCATGATCCAGCCTTATCCTTTATCACCACCCCACCACTAGTCCAGTAAGTAAAGATCAAGGAGCAACCACAGCAGAGCAACCCAGCTGGTGCTGCTGGCTCAGGCCCCCTGTAGAGGCAGACACATGTCCATGTCCTGCAGAGAGCCCTCCATAAGCTTCAGCCCTGAGCAGCATCCCCAGCTCCACTGGGTATGGACAGTGCTCACCAGCTGCTTCCACTCGAGCAAGGTGAATCACTGGAAAATACTGTCTGTGTGCACAAAGGTATATCATATATTCACCAAGAGTTTTATCAGGTAATAGGCATCTCTCTCCTATCTCTACAGCCTTATGGATGGGACCTGCCCTGCTCCTTGCCCAAATATTTGAAGAGCTACACAGACTGCATACCACCATTACTTGCCAAAGAAGAAGCAAAAAAAAGACAAACACTAAAAGAAAAAAACCCTAAACCACATATTTACCTAGAAGACAGAGAGCTTTGTTGAAGGTATTCAAGCCCTGCACCCCATTCTACAGAGGAGCCAGTGGCAGGGCCACCCACATCCATGCAAGCAGTGGCCTGCCAAATTGATGCCTGATGTGAATGCCATTCCTGCCTCCTTACATCTTTTCTTCCCAGTGGTATCGATTAATGCATAGTTGCCACAGTTGTAAAACCAAGTCTAGAAAAGAGCAGGGAGGCTCTTCAGGGCTTCCAGCTCCAAAGTGCTTTTCACTTCGGTTTCTCCTGTGCTGTATAGCAGATGCTGCTCCCTCAAAAAAAGCAATTTCCCACAGTAGGCACCTCTCTTCCCAACCCCAGGGAAGCACGACAGTGCTTAAGATGCAAAGAGCATTAGGTGTATCTTCTGAAGATCACTAGCCCACAGTTGTACCTCCACATCTTCGGGGCACCAGGGCCACAGCAGGTACATTGGAAGGCAAGCAGGAGTCCCTAAGACTGGCTCCAGTATGATCCCCTTGCTGTTCATCAGCCCCACCTCCCAGCCACCATTACGAGAGACCCACTGGAAATCTCCTGTGCCTGAATACTGCAGACAGGTGCTCAACCCCAGCTCCAACAAGAAAGGGCATTTCAGCTTGTAAGTCTGTTACCTGGGGTAAATCTTGACAAACCACTCAGATACAGCAGCGTCGTGCGATGTGCATTCAGAACAGCTAATGTGTGTTTTAGCAGAGATGTGACATACATACAACCCTGTTTCCATGGCATGAGAAGTTCCTCCTCTAGACTGCAGTGCTGGCTCATAAGGCATCTCAAACCAGTTACTTTCCCTTCAGCACCCTTCAAATCATCAAAAGAAAACCATAACATACAATTTTTTCCAGCCGTCCAAGCAAGGACAGCCTTCCCAGCAGGGAAGCTCCAGCAGGGTCTTGTGGACAATGTCCAGAGCCATCAGGGCACAGTAAGCATGCTACTGCAGCAACTCTTCACAAATGAATTCAGTTTAAGTGTCCTGAAACTGCCCTGCAGCGCCAGCTCAGTGGGGTAAGTGGGGAAAAATCAGGAGATTCATTTCCATGTGCACTCCCAATCCAAACCAAAATATCAGCATTACAGCAAAGATGAGGACAGACTTTTCCTACTTTTGCTGCCAGACCTCCAAGAGATGATTTCATAGCTGACAGCCAGCAGCAATAGCCAGGGAGCTGTTAGACAGCAGCCTGCCCAGAGATGTGAGGGTCACAGACCATCCCCTCTTGTCAGACATTTACACTCTTCCAACACAAGAGCCCAGATTCATTTGAAAGGCTTAAAACCCTTCTTACCCTGACATTACAAAAAAACCCATGCTCATCCAATACAGCATGCCATGGATCTCTCTGCTTCCACAGGCACTGGGGCTAAAAGAAAACTGACTGTGTGCTCCCTTCGAGATATAAAATGCCATTAACAAAGGAAAAAATGGAAAAAATACAAAATTATGTTGCCCTCTCAGGGAAGCACCTAGAGGCATGGCTAGCACAAAGTTACCAACAACCAGTAAAATAAGTTTGTAAGCCACTGCTGCTTGCACCAGAGGAGCTCATACAAGGGGTCTGCAGCATTTCCATCATCTATCAGATCAACTAGCATGCAGTCTGTGCATGATGCTCTGTGCCACAGACTTATTTTGCAGGAAGAATTTGGAGCAGTACCCTCATCTGGTCCTTTTCTAAGCAGGGTAGAAGAAGGTTAAGATTTAACTACTGTTTGCTGGAAATGGGGAAGCTTCAGCAAAGCTTCAGGAGGGGCTTTTTTGGGGTTTTTTTTGTAAATGCAGTTTCTGTTCTTTAGAATTAGAGAGCTGTGCGGTCTCTGGAGCCCTGGGAAAACACTGACAGAGCACATCAGCATCACCCTGCTGGTAGCAGTGGTAGCTGTTCTGCATTTTGCTCTTCCTACTGAAGATGTCACATCGAGCAGCAAGCCATCTTCTGAGCCCAGCAATACTAGTGGAGATGCCAGGGCAAGCAGGGGACCACGCCAGGCTCAAGCTCCTGCCACCCAAATGTCAAGACAAGAGGTTTGACTGGTAACTCCTAACCCAGCTAGAAACAGCTGAGCATTAAAGGGCAGATCCACAGACAGCAGGAACTCATATACCAATTTAGGTTTCCCATTCCTGCCCTAATTCTTCTGAAACTCATGTCACCGTTCCTGGACAGAGCCACACAGTCCTTTAAGGGCACCTCTGTCACCTGCAGCAGCGTGTGGTCCCTGTTCAGATCCAGTCCTCCTCAAAGGCACAGCTGGCAGCATCCCAGTTACTCCATTGCAGCACCTGGAGTCACATTAAGAGCCTGTCCTAACTCTCGGCAGGACTTGACAATGGGGGAGTTACTGGACTTGTCACATTGCAATAAAAAGTCACTTTTTCAGGGCAAAGCTGCTGCTTGGGCAAACAGTGGCTATCAGTTAAATGTAAAAGCAGGAATACTGAGAAGCAGTGGTATTCAGTCCTATCAGTAGAAAGCAGTCCTCCCCGATGCCCACTCAGCTCCAGGACCACTATTTACAGCAAGAGGTTGTCAAGCACGCCAGGCATCACAGACATTTTTGATAATGAGACTGTTACCACTGAGGCTGACCTCCAAACACAGGGCTCCAGGATTTGTTTGTTGACTTCCAGTATGTGGTTTGTTAGTTTATTTAAGTCAGAGCCAGCTCTTTGAAGAACAGGATGAGAAATGAGAGAGGGAGGAAGAAAGTCATTAGTAAAATCATAGAAGTCAAAAGAAAGAACTTGTACAAACAAGAGTATCCTTGACTTCAAGAACTGCGTCTGCACAATGCAGAGTCACACACTGTTATGCTATGACAGGGGTTAAAGCATTGCAGTACATTAAATGCAGGAATTAAGATGGTTATTGGAAAGCTAGAGCTGAGTGTAACAGGAGATCACAAGTGAAGGAGTCGGTTTAATATTAAAGAAAGCTGTTTGGACTGAGAAACACTTAGCCACGTACACACAGTGTGCCCCCAAGAGGACCTTGCAGAGGACCACATCTGCACCCAGAGGGGCAACACCCACGCTAACTAAGCGGGGAACCTGGTTGGCATCCCACAATCTCTTCTGCTTGTCAGTGCAATCGTAGCCATGGCTGTGTTGGAAAAGAGGGGAAGGAGGAACATACCCCAGAGTTCCAGCACTGGAGAATAGAGAGAGCACTGGTTTAAGAAGCTTTATCAAGAAGACAGCCTAAGAGAGATATCCGAAATTTCATCTGGCTATTGCAGGCAACCGAAATTGTATGTGGAAACGAGGTCCTTTACAATTGCATGTTTGCCAGATTTAAAAATGATGCACCACAGCAAGATCTACCCAGGTCAGCAATAAATAACAAATGACTTTTGTCATCCTGTGATTTGTCAGAAGCAGCATTTCCAAACCATCTCCAGCTGCAAATAAAGTGTTAGAGGGCATAAAGAGGGGAAAAAACGCCAAACAAAACATCCTTGAGAACAACAGAATCTTTTTTTATTTCCCCCTGAATTTCAAACTTGCTCCACCTCCCTCCTGCCAGGTCTCACCTTGCCATGGCTTTTCTCCACCTTTCGGAAACACTTGTTCAAGGAGAGGTTGTGCCGCACCGAGTTCTTCCAGCCGGTGGGGGCTGTGGCGAAGTAGGGGAAGCGGTCCAGGATCCAGCTGTAGATTTCTTTGACTGGCAGGCTCTTGTTGGGGGACTGCTCGATTGCCATGTAAATGAGAAGGCTGAAAGAGTAAGGGGGTTTGGAAGTGGAGGATTTTTTTTCAGGGTTCTGGTAACAGGACGGTGAGAAGGATGGCACGCTGTCCCCCTCGATGTCGTATAAGGGGCTAACGATGGGAAGGCCCTCACTTCCGAGGCTGAAGTTTGTTAGAAGGTTTGTACTTTCGTGCAGCCAGTTCAAATTTGTGAGCTCATCGTCTGCTGCATCTCTGTCCACCACAGTGGCCTTTGGCTTGCCGGCGTCGCCTGCGTCAGGCAAGCTGCCCATCCCATGACAGTGCCGTAGTCCTGCAGCTTTTTCTGCTCCTGGCGTTTCAGCTTTCTTATCCGGAGTCATTCCAGTGACTGGACCCATTTAGCTTTATTGGTCTGCAACAAAGGAGATGGTCAGAAATCACTGCAAACCGCCAAAATCACATTCAGCCCACCAAACCCAAACACAGGGCTGCACCACCTCTATGCCGTGCAGGAATGCTGTAGTCACTGATGAGAGCCAGGGTCCAGCAGGAGCCTCCCAGTAAGCTCATGAGCATCTGCTAGCTCCCCTCCATTTGTAATCAGAGATTATGGTAATCACTTGGAAACTGCTGTATCTATCTTGAAACACCAATTTAGACACAGAAATAATAGTTATTCTCATGTCAACATCTGAATCTGGAAAAGACCTTAACAGGTAGGATCTAATCCATGTAGGTCTGACATTAAGTCCTTAGTTATACTCACTATATTTGTAAATTGACCCTGTTTAGAAGTGTTTGCCTTTGGTGCCCAAAGAGTGAAAAAAGTTGCAAAACTTACAACAGCATAAAGTGCATTTGTGGGTTCAGCACAAACGAAGTCTCTACAACTCCCTACCAGTCACAGTCACTCCCAAGTGCTGTCACATATTTCTACCAGGGAAAGATCTGGCCAGTCTATCAGTTCATCAGCTGTGAGTCCCACAGAGCTGCCTGGGTCCAAAAGATCTTTTTCCCTCCTGCAAGAGCTTGCTGCCCTAATCTGAGCTCTCCTGCAGAGCAGAGGGTGGTGGGACCAGCTCTTAACAGGAAAGGATCATCTCTGGGGTGGCAGCTCAGACCTGGTGCAGGAACAATGGCTGACCACTTCGACTAAAAAAAACCCCCACACTAAATACCTAACCATAAAATTATTATCTACAAAAACCTCCAACCCAGAATGCATGGGCTAACATGCTTTAGAGGCATTACACTAACAAAAACCACCTTGCTTGTAGGATTTTAAATGGGATCCTCTAGCAAACTATGTTATGGGAAGAGCTGCTTTTTTCCTGCTGATGTGACCATGTCAGAGCTTCACTGCACCCACAGCTTTGGCCAACACAGCTATACCAGAAGTACAGACCAACAAAACCACTGTACAGATGTGGGCTGTGTACACACACACACACACTACAGACGTAAGACACGCCAACTATGGATGCTGTTTACCAGCAAATCTGAGGTTCACATTAACTGAAAAAAAAAAACCAAACAAAAATCAAACATACAAAAACCCAAACCCCAACCAAGTTCCTCGTCCCAGTACGTGCTATCATTCTGGTCTCATGCTCTGGCCCCCAGTGCAAGAGCAAAATTGCAAGACAAGGAGTTTCCATATCAGGCTTCACCAGACAGCTCTGTGCAGTTCCTGGATGCTTTCTTACAACAGTATTCAGTTAACATGTGGCTCCAAGCACTTGCATCTTCTCCTACAAAGCGGAGGCATGGAGTCGGCCAGCCTGTGTACAGCTCTTGGCTGTCCCACCTACAAAACCAGAGCCAACCAGTTCCAACCTCACTGTGTCCATGGGAGTACCCTGTCCAGCCTGCCTGCAGACATATTTGCCCAGCCTCCTTACTCTGGAGAAGGGGAGTGATGTGTAATGGAGGAGTGACATGGTGACCTAAAAAGGCAACAGGATACATCCATTCTATGCTCCTCAACAGGGGTCAGAGTCCTGCCAGTCCCTTCCTGGTGCCAGGCAGTCCTGGGGTACAGAATTTGTGCCTCCCCCAGAGAACACACCAGGTTTCCCACCAGCAATTTTTGCTCCTCTCTTCATATGTTCATATGCTCTTGCACCAGCAACTGCAAAGCTGTTTTGACAGTAGCACCTACACCTATGCTTACCAGCAGTAGTGCTGGAAACCATTCCCAAACCTTCTGTTTTCTATTTCTTATTTCTATTCAATGCAGGGATGGGCATGATCAACTACCAGCTCAGTTATAAAAATAAATAAATAAAGTGAGCTGCTCAAATAGCTGGTCGAAAATAGCTTTGCTCTCCCTACAATTTACTTCTCCCCCAAGCCATCAGAGCAGATTTATACTGGCAGTCAGCGATGGCTGGCTTTTACCACAGCCATATATACATACGCTCATGTCACTTCTTCAGTGCTTTCTTAAATTAAAAAACAAACAAACAAACCAACAGCTAGTGAAAAAATTCAGTGAAACAAACCCCAACTCTGCTGCAACCCGAGCTGCACCGCTCTCCTTATGAAGATTAACTTTACCTCCTTGTTCAGCACCTCTTTAGCCAGCTACATACTAAGCTTACACCTCGCAGCCGTGTGTCGGTAATTTTAGCTCTCGGTTCACGTTACCTGAAATATCCCTTTGCGAATCTTCCGTCAGCACAGCCCATCAGGAACACGCACATGCACACACACACATGCGAGTCTGAGGTCACTCTATTTATTTCTTAGGTGAAAGGGGGTAGTAAAGTCTGTTTTCAACTCAAATGTGGCCTGGGCACACTCAAAATTATAGAGGGAAAAATATTAACTTATTAAATTGGCATTGCATATCAGGCAGGATTTGTGGTAGCATGCAAACCAACAGTGCATTGACATTATCTTTTAGCAGAGAATCATCACAACAATTAACACTCTGCTTATAAAAAATATTATTTGCAGGCAATATACTTACAGGAACTGATTTAAGTTAGTGCCATGTTTCTCTTAGTAGATGTGTTACAAAAATCCACACGTCTCATTACCTTCTCAGTGCCTAGTTCACCACCCTGCACACCTTCTACCTGAACACATCAGAAGTCAAAATATTTTTTCTAGAAAGCTAAGAAGGCCATTATTAGATTATTATCATCTCATAAATAAGAAAAAAAATAAATTTAGTTCCATAACTGCTGCAGTTTTCAAAGAGTGTTCTCCAGCGGTCTGCATCAAGGATAACTGAAATATAGAGATAGCAGAGTATGCAACAGGGAAGCTATTTTAATGAAGAATTTAGCTCCATTGTGATGGCAGTAATAAGACTGGTGACACTGAGGACCATCAGCTGATCATTTTGACACTGCTTTTCTGGAGACACCATCACCTCAGCCTCAGAATATAGAATGCAGCCTCAGAATCTCTAATTCTGTCTTGTTTACTCTGGCCTGCTGCTGCATCAGTCTGAAGAAGAAACCAACACTGGCAGCCTTCCGACTGCAAAGGACTGCAAAGTCATCAAAAGCTGGCTCTTCCCCTAAGATCAACAACCACAACTCCAAGGGTTGCCCCACAGATGGGGTCATTAGCAGACATGGTAATGTCTGTCTCGTCTCTCAAGCACCTAAGGACCATCTGGACCACAGGACCTTCTCCCTTCTCAAGTAGCCAAGGGCCACACAGACCACAGGATCATCTGAGACAGCACTGCTTTCTGCCTGCAGCAGCCTGGTGGGGAAAGACACCAGTGCCTCTGGAGCATATCTGAAGGCACACAAGTGGTCAGTTTGTGTGCTCTCCAGAGCCCCTCTTCATTCACAGAGACCTTTAATGACATGGATATTCACAATTTTTCTCTCCATTTGGGCTCTGCCTGGCCATAAGCAGACGAGATTGTGAGCACAGAGCTTCCAAGATGTCATTCTCAAGATTACCACTTCCAATATTCAGGTTTTAATATTTTACATAAGGACCGTGGGATTCACCAAAGCCACCTTTGCTGTAAGCTGGCAAGGTTTTGTGGGCAGGCATGACCCAGTGGGAAAACCACAGTTAAGAGTAAGGAGAGCAGACTGTGAGAAGAGCACGGAAGAACCTCTCCAGTGCAGATGTTTTGATAAAATTGTACATGCTTGGACCATCAGGTTGTTTTCCTAATGTTTCTCACTGTTAACCAGCTCAAAGAGTCGAAGTAAACCAGGTTAGAGGTGGCCACCAGGACTTGCTCTCCACAGTGCTCCTGGACAAGCTGAATTAGCAGCACCAACATGAAAACAGGGAGGTTAAGAGTGCGCGTGCGCGTTGCCAGGTCACTCTGCGAAATTCATCTTCCACTCCTTTATTCCCTTACTGCCACCTTCCCTGCCTCTTCAGCTACTTCAGGAACAGCAAGAAAACCATTTCCAAATGACAGGCAACTGCTCAGCTGCTGAGATACGCTCCCCATCCCTCTACTGGAGCTCTCCTCAAGCCAATTCTTACCGAAGGGGGATGGCAAACAGTAACCATCTACCCAGCTTCTCCAGTTGCTGCGCTGAATAGCCAGACACTTGCTGCAATTCCCACAGGGATAGCCACAGAAGAGCCAGAAAGCAACCTCCAGCCACGCACACGCAAAAATAATACGCTTTAAGCACACCTATGAAAAAATATGGAAGAGTTTGTGCTCTGACCTGTGTGCTTTACCCCACCAATAAGTGACACAGCATGCTGCTGCTCATTGGTATTAACACTTGCAACTGAAAGCAGAGCATCACACATCCAAACCTACGGAACTCAAGCATCTACCTCCTGCAAGAAAAGAAATGCCAATCAAAACATCTATTCCGAGTATCGCAGTGGAGGTGCCCATTATTTTGCACAGCAATTACAGACAGAGGTAAGACATGACTCAGGGGTAAGAAGATTAAAAGGCTGCAAAGTCAGCTGAGGTTGCTCAAAGAAAAGTTAGGACGCATCAGAAAAGAGGTGAGAGAGACAACCTTCTTTCCAGCAGTCTGTGATTTCTGGCATCACTCAAGAGAACACATAAAAGCCAGGAGCAGACCTCCCTGCTAACATGTGCCAGTCCAGCACCCAAAGCCCAGTGAAGACCTGCTCCTCCAGGCCACTCACAACCTGAACAGCAGAGCCCAAGTCCAAAGGGGCTGATTAAGGCTGCAGATGTGTTCAGTCAGCAGTCTGTTTCAGAGAAGCAGGCACAGACTGGAGAAGACTCAGTGTCTCAATGTTGCAAGACGATAATATTTTTTGCAGTCTTCTCTCAAACTCACCAAAGAGCTAAATTTGGGAAAGGTTATGGGGACTGCAAGGTTCTCAGCCTAGCAGAGCACACCTGGAGTTAAACCAGGTTTGTGTGCCCCCACATACATCTCCAGCTACAACTTCATTTTGAAAGACCTTGAGGACCGATATGTT